AGATTCGTATAGTCTGGTGTTAGTGAGGGACCCAGTTTGATTATAGGCCAGGCTATTGGCTATCTTGACAACATAATCATGGGTTTCCTCAGTCTCGAGGCGAATACGGGGATGATACATTCAAGTAGACAACATCTTGCTGCCAGTTCATTACGTATTCGAGGTTCTCACGACGATTGTACGGACGTTTCGGAGGAAACGTTTGTCTCAATCTTCACGGTAGGAGAATCGCTTTTCGGCATTCAACTTTTTAAGGATGTCATTTTTGCCCCTGTCTTCTGTAGCCCATCACAGTAAGCAACCCGATCCAACTTGGAAGTTTAGTTGCTTGTGTCTCATATGTTTCGGCTATTCTGCCATACTCGATGATATTTGCTGTTATTAAGAATCATTAAATTTGGAGCCTTCACCGATGTACTGAACCAGTAAACTTTGTTTAGTAATCACGTGCCAGTTGTAACAGAGACTGGATGCTGTAGGCGTAAGTGGGAGAGTCATATTAAAACGGAACCATATAATAATATGACCGGAGGATATGGGGGTTTCCCCACATATTTATTATACATTATCTGCGGCGTCTACAATAAATGTATATGTTCAATAAGTACTAGATTGTGAATGAGTTATGCCCAGTGGCGTAACTGATATACGTTTTTGTTCATTTATATATCATTTTAATTCCTATATTTGGGTGTTACTCACATCTGTCTGGCAGAGTTAGGGCGGTGTATCTTTTCAGTCTACGTGTAGTCTCGCTATTGTCTACTAGGTTCACTGTTAGTGCATTAGTGTGGTTTCCTAATTTCCTTAAGTAGGCCGTGCCGTAGCTCAGGCGGTTAGTCACCGTCTTCCCACGGCCGCGGCCCGGGTTCGAGCCTAGTCGTCTGGGATTTGTGGTGAACAAAGTGGCGTTGGAGCAGGTTTTCTCCGAATACTTCGGTTTCCCCTGCTAATCTTCATTCCACCAATTGATCCGCAATCATTCCATCAGCTGTAATCTGGGGCTGGTACAGTAGATCAGTAGTGGCCGCAGTACCGAATGGACTCACGTCAGTTTCACTCCACTAATAATAATAATAATACTAATAATAATAATTATTTTGTAGTTCACTTTTTTATTTCACGGATCACTGTGTTCATTTGTAGATCTTAATGAGTCCTATGGATGTTTAGGAGGGTATGGTTGGAGTGGATTTATCTGGCTTATAATCGGGACCGGTGGCGGGCTTTTGTGAGCAAGGTAATGAAGCGGGTTCCATAAGATGTTGTAAATTTCTTAACTATCTAATCAGCTCTTAGCGTCTGAATAAGGACCGTCCCGCGGGGAGTTAGTTTTGACAGCTGTAAACAAAGCTTGTTATAAAAAACGGATTCTAGCTCCACATCGCCGTGTTCCTGGGAAGACATCAGTTTTCTTAACTTCGAACTGTTTGTTTAAAAAGTAGACAGAAGATACCGAAATCTGTTGCTATAGCCCTTATTATCTTATCTACATCTACTACGGGGAAGATACTAAACTGAAATGTTTTTTTAAACTTACCAGATAGCCAAGTTTAAAGGGGTAAAGATAACAGATGTAATCCTTTAGTAACCGTAAGTACACCGCGCCAGCTTGAGTGCTTTTAATATTTGGTTACCGGAAAGTTTAAAAGTGATGTGCAAGTCTGCATGGCAGGGGAGAGCAGGAGATTGATCCTACACGTTTGGGAATTACATGAGGAAGTAGAGGGCCTGGCCATTAGTAGGGACCTAAACACCCGCTCACAGCAGGTTTTGTTGGTTTTTATGCTTTGTAGTTCCACTGATTAGTTCCCGGCTTTATGGAGAACATGGCTAATATTAATAGGGACAGTGGGCTATGCCGGCCGTAGCGCTGCCTACATTGTCAGTATCTCAGGTCATACAGTCTCGAATACATCTGGACAGTATGTGGAAGGTAGCGGTTCTAACCTAATTAGAGGCACGTATCTCGATATTAACGTGAAGTGACTGAAGAGAATCACAATAAGCTTTAGTGAGGATAGTTAGTGTCCCGTCCGAGATTCGAACTGGTCCCCTTCCTAGTATAGGGTTTTGGTCACAAAGCCAGAACACCGCTTCCAGCGTACTCCATTGGTGCGTGTTATGAATCCGTTTCGGTCTTTACCTAACAACGGCTGTTGTATAGCTGCTTCTTTTGCGGTCGTTGCCTAGTAACACTTACTTACTTACTTATGGAGCTGAGTCCTTCTGGAGGAGCCGCCAATTCTCAAGAATTTCTCAGTATTTTACGGAATCCGATGGTTCATTACCGTGTTCACAAGAGCCCTCCACTGGTCCCTATTCTGAGCCAGATCAATCCAATCAATACCATACCATCCTATCTCTCTAAGATCAATTTTAATATTGTACACCCACCTACCCCTTGGTTTTCCCAGTGGTCTCTTTCCTTCTGGTTTTCCTACCAATGTCCTATATGCATTCCACGTCTCCCCCATTCCTGCTACATGCCCTGCCCATGTCATCCTCCTTGACTTGATCATTCTAATTGTACTTGGAGAAGAGTACAAGTTACGAAGCTCCTCATTATGCAGTTTTCTCCAACCTCCTGTCATTTCACCCCTCTTCGGTTCAAATATTCTCATCAACACCCTCAGTCCATGTTCTTCCGTTACTAGTAACGGGAAGCGGCCTCCGTAGTCTAGGGGCAACGTTCCCACCTCATGACTCGAGGTACGCGGGTTCAAACCCGGCGGAGGTCGTGGAATTTTTAAGGGCGGAAAAATTCAGGGAACAAGTCCTCCGGGAGGGACTTTAAGCCGTGTGTCCCATGTCGTAGATTTACGGCACGTAAAAGATCCTCATGTCTCTAGGAGACCTCTGAGCTAAATTAGGCAAAAAGTTTCCCGCCCAAGTAGTTTCCAATGCCTCTGGTAGAGGGGGGACGTATTAGGTACCGAAGGCCGACCTCGTTGGCTGAACGGGGCTAACAGTACGCACCAGTACCGGTAAGGTATGGCGACTGGTAGAATATCAAAGGGGGACGTACAATAGATGATCAACTGGTCGCGGTGCATGGGGAAACCCACCCCCTTCAATAATAATAATAATAATAATAATAATAATAATAATAACGGGTCTACGTGCCACAATATCGTAGTGCTTAATTCAGCACAGTGACAGCTGTACATTTTGCGTTCACTTCGCTTCATTTGGAGTAAACCCATGCTCGGGAACGGCTCGGTGTAGTCGTTATCTCGTATGTTTCGCATTTTGGACATCCAGTATATTATTCTGTAAAGGGAGAATGTCCTGAAAGCTTTCTTTTTCTTTTCCTGGTTGTCCTCTGTATCGGAAGTGTGTAACGTAACACAGAAAAGAGTGTCTCTCCGATTCATTCCTTTGTGCTTCATGTCGATAGGACTTGGAGCCGGCTTTAGGTAAGATTGCTGAGAACTTCTTAACCAGGTTCGTGTTAAAGTACATAAAGGGACCGAGCGAGATGGTTCGCATTGTGCTGCTTCTGATCTACGTTTTGGACGTGCCTGGTTCGAATCTTGGCGGGAATATCGACGCTGACTCATGGTTTTGCTCAGTCCTGGGTGAATACCAGGATAATACCTTGAAATATGGTATGGCCGCTTCCTTCTTGATCCTTTACATTTCAATTGGCCCAGGCGGTAACGCTTCTGACTTCTCTTCGGGATGTTCATGGTTCGAATATCGACCTAGTCACCGAATATCCGGGCATTTTTCATGGTTTACCTTTTTTTTTTATTTCTAGTGGGGTGGGGCTAAGTCCCTTGTACTGCGGCCACTTCTGGCCTATTGTACCAGCCCCAGATGATAGGCGAGGGGGATTGTGGAGCAATTGGTGGAGGGAAGATTGGCAGGGGAAACCGAAGTACTCGGAGAAAACTTGCCCCCGCGCCACTTTGTCCACCACAAATCCCACTTGACCAGACCCGGGATCGACCCCGGTCCGCCGCGGTGGGAAGCCAGCGACTAACCGCTTGAGCTATGGCACGGCCTTCTTTACATGGTTTACCTTAGTCGTAGGTGAATGCCGGTGTAGTCCTTTGAAATATGCTACATTCTCTTCATTTCGCCTACTCATTATTAATGCTACGACTGAACACTGCGCAGTCTCAGCTACTGAAGGCGTGGATGTATAAACCGGAGATATAAGACATAAAGGACTTCTTGCGTACCGTAAAGACCAGATTCTGCACACAGACTAGGCCGGGATAGCTTTTTGGTATGGTGACGCGCTCAACGTCCGGAGTTCAATTCCTGGTAGGGGAAAGATATTTTCTTTTCTCGACAGCGTTCAGACCGTCTCGGGGACCCACCCAGCCTCATATTCAATGGATACCAGGGTGTAAAGCGGATGTGGCGTGAAGCTGGCCATTCACGTCCATCCAGTGCCGAGGTCAAGAATGTTGGAGCTATACCTCTACTCCCCCACACATCTTCATGCCGTGATGCTTAATTAAGCACAGCGGCAACTTTTTTTTTTACCGCCCAGACTAGGCGTGTTTTATCGAGTTGATGCTAGTCCATGATATGTATGTATTGACCGTCTTCTAGTGCACTCAATCTCACATGTCACTTCACTACATGTTTCGGCATCACTGTGCCATCCTCAGGTGTGTTATTTACGTTAAACTATTGCACTGCTCGCCATCATGTGTCGTTTATAAAATTATCTAAAATGCACACCCTTCATTAACTGTAATAAAATTTATATATATCAAAATTTGTTAAGATCCATCATCTTGCACGTCTTAACTCACTCGCGTACTACATCATTCTTCCAATATGAGAGTCGTTCTTCCTATATTTTGTGTGTATCTGCAGCGTGAAAATGGTACTTATTAATATTACTTTCGACTTCTATCTGTTACTTGTTGTTTATAGTTGATGCTAATTGAAATGTCTGAGTTGTGATGCGAATTGGATTGAAGTGGCTTATGATGGCTGCATGTAAATGCTCTAATGTAATGCTCTTTTTGTTCCAGTTGACTTGCTTCAGATGCTCGAGTTTAACGTAAGCATTACGTTTCCCGCAGCTCAGCTTCTGACTGTCATTCTTGCTCTTGTTGGTAAGTCAGGCACATCTCGCTCTCTGTAACTATTTATATTGTTTGAAGCCCATTCACTAATGTGACTGGCTATTGGCTGTAGGACCGGGATGTGATACCACACAATACCACCATATCCCGACCCAATGAAGCATATACATCGTCTCAGCTAATGGGCACCAGGAATTCACCCTGCAGCATAGCAGCCGGAGCGCGAAGCTGGTTATTCGCTTCCATCATGTGTCGATAGTTGTAGAGTATATGGAGCTTAACTCCCACTCATTCACGCCCTCATGGCGCGATGCCGAGACATAGGGTAACTTTCACTGTCTCTACCTTATGTGATTAAATATTACTCCGGGAATAGTAAGACAGTATTTAGTAAAGTATCCACCTTCATTCTAGGGTCACAAGTTTTGAGTACTTGTTACCATTTTATTATTATTATTATTATTGGAGGGGGTGGGTTTCCCCATGCACCGCGACCAGTTTGATCTATTATACGTCCCCCTTTGAATATTATACCAGTCTCTATACCCTACCGGTACTGGTGCGTGCCATCAGCCCCGACTCAGCCAGCGAGTTCGGCCTCTACTGGCTCAGCGGTACCTATGATGCTTCCCCCATCTACAGAGGCGTTAGAAACTACTGTTGGCGGGAAATGTCCTTCAATTTGGCTCAGAGGTCTCCTTGAGACATGAGGTTCTTTTACGTGCCGTAAAGCTACGACACGGAACCCACGGCTTAAAGTCCCTCCCGGAGGACTTGTTCCCTGAATTTTTTCGCCCTTAAAAATTCCACGACCTCCGCCGGGTTTGAACCCGCGTACCTTGAGTCATGAGGTGCGAACGTTACCCCTAGACTACGGAGGCCGCTTGTTACCATTTTAGTGTAGTAAAGAATGCATGTAATGCCGCTAGAAGTATCACCTTTCTACTGTCGTTAGTGTCACAGACTGTATGCTTTTTCTTTAGGTAGTAATACTAACGGAAAAAATCCTTTATACTAATGAATAACTTGCCTCTGGATTTGCAAGACTCGCAGAGGTGTCGTGTAGGAAGCTGTTTAATCAACGTACTTAAATTATCCGCCGATCCTTCATCGTATCTTGTACTAGTTCCGATACTCCCCGCTAGGTGACTCGGCCGTGCCTTAGCTGCAAGGTTCGTTGATACGGAATGTATATCTTCAGTTCAGTTCGTGCAGTGCATGTAAAGTAGGCATAGAAAAATAACCCGTACTAGCCGAAAGACTTTCATATTTACTAATATTAATTTATGTATCTTGCTTTGTATCTGCCCCTCGGAATCATTTTGAACACCACTCATTTGGACGTAGCGGGATCATAATAAAACTGCACACTTTCTGGACCTCTCTGTTAGACGGAGGTAAGCGGTCTGCTTTACGCTCTGGCATCTTCACCCCTGCGAAAAGAGCGCCCGGTGACCGTTTGGCGTGAGGCGGGGTGGCTATCAGAGACTACATGGTAGGGCCAAGAGTTGTCTCTTCTCCGTCGTACAGACCTGTTCTGGGACCTGATAAGCCTCTTTTCGAGTGGGTACCGAGGGCTTTTTCCCCGGGATAAAGCGGCCGGGGCCGAAGCTGACCACTTACCTCGAACAAGTGCCGAGGTCAAGAAAACTTGGATCTATATATCCACTGCCCCACACGTCTTCACGGTGTAGTGCTTAATTAAGCACAGGGACAACTTTATCTTTAAGAATAGAAGTAGAGTTCTGAGGAGAATATGTGGACCTAACAGCGATGAAGTAACAGATGGACGGTGAATATGAATAGTTAGCTGAGCCCTTCTTGAGAAGCCGCACACTTGTGCAGCTACTCAAGAACATCCCAGCATTTTATGAAACCCGAAGGTTCATTGCCATGTTCACAAGAGTTCTCCACTGGTCCATATCCTGAGCCAGATCAGTCCAATCCATACCACCCCATCCTGCCTAAGATCAATTTTGTTGCACGTCAAAAAGAACTCCATGGCTTTAGTCCGCAAGTGAACTATACTGATCGAGCGACCGCCGCTTGTCGGGAAAGTTAGTACCAACTTTAGCGGATAGAGGGTGTCGTGCGGTCAGCGCAACGAATTCCCACGACCGTTAATTTCGGTTACTTTTCCATTCAAGTAGCTCCACGATTATCCTCACGAAGCTGAGCGGACCCACTACTTCTCAGAAAATATTGTAGCGCCGGGAATCGAACACAGGACCTCTGGATCTGTAGCCAGGAACTCTGACCACCAGACCACAGAGGCGGTCCTTATTGCTCGTCTTTGGGAAGAAAATAACAGTGCACTCTGTCCTGTATATTTATATTGGTGTAGGCTCTTAGGAACTGGTTTCCATCCACGTGTATCTGTCTGTCTATCTTTGTGTATAACAGATATAGCAGTAACAAAGTATGTCAACACACGGTACCATATTTTGTTATTTGTTCGTCGATATTACCATTGATTTTTGGGACTAGGTGTAGGAGTACTGTAGGACAGGAACAGTTGTTACTGTCCCTCCTCCTCTGGGAACACTGAATTAGTGTCCCTTGTCAGGGCGCATATCTGGGTTCACAGCCCCCGTTCCACTATCATTCCCAATACACTTGCAGGATCAGATTATTAGTTTTGATAATTTGTTATTAAAATTTTACAGAAAAATATGTTCGTCATTGTAGCAGGTGGAATGACCCTTTGATGTAACAAGAGTTCGAGTTTAAAGAGTAAGTGTAAAGTTTTTCCATGCGTAATTAAGCATCTTGCCATAAGAGTAATGGTAAAGTGGAGGTATAACTCCACGCATTCTTAACCTCGGCTCTGGATGGAGGTGAACGGCCATCTTTCCTCCCCAGCCGCTTTATCCACTGGAACTGACTCCGTATGCCCATTGGATGGAAGGGCGGGTGTCAGCCTGTTTGGACGCTGTGGAGCGGAATTGTCTCAGCCGTTGCAAGGAATGGAACTCACGTTTTCCCGGCCCCTAGCCTAATCAAAATATTGACTGGGCCAATCGGATCTGGGGTCTTTTATGTATGAGTAGTCACTGAAGTATCAACAGCAGATCTACAAGCTCATCCTGTATATTCCAGTATGGAGGTTGAGCGTGGGTCTAATAACACATCATCCTAAACGTAGATGTGATTCTTTAGCACGATCTAAGCCCTGAAAGATGGGTGAAACGAGAAATTCTTACGAAATTGTAGTCCGAAAACCACAAGGGACGAGAATGCTAGGGATACGTAAGCATACACTTAGATAGCAGGAAAACGTTAAAAAAATGATTCTTATAAAAAAGGGAGTGTGGATTAAACTGACTCAGGATTAGAGCCTGAAGTTTTTTTTAACGCAGTAATGAACCTGCTCGTTCCATAAAAGCAAGGGATTTTGTGTCGGCTTAGTGAGCGTAAACTTTTCAAGGAAAATTCTTGTACGATGTAGTTTGTTAGTTAATTTTTCTTTAGGCTTACCCAAATTTCTGAAAATCTTATGATGTATAAAAATATCTTCATGACCTTCTCTTTCCTTTGGAATTAAGCTCAAATGTTAACGCGGTAGATGAGATCTTATTCTGTCTACTACAAAACCACAGAGTCTTAATTATGTTAAATAGCATTGTATTTCACTGGTCAGTATTTTTCGAAACCTGCTTGTCTCTGTAAGATCATAGCAGCTTACAATAGTTCCGAAAACCTGATAGACTGCAGAGCGCTGTGGAGAATTTTTCTAGGATCCCTCTGTATACAACGGAGCGTAGAATCCTCAATAAGCCACGGTGAAATTAGATTTATTTCTGCACTATGACTCTGATAAAGTTTACTTACTCTCTTATATTCATTGGTCTCTGCTGTTGCGGCGTTACTTCTGGGGTCCAGTAGGGCAGTGGTTTCCGATTGGATTTTTTTTGGGAAACATTTCCAATCATATCGCTCACCTCGCAGCTGCAAACCCGCCCCCTCCGTCCCTGATCCTGGTTTCGGTATTGATTGCGGGGAGACAATATAGGCAAGTTGTTCATTTCTCGATCAGCGGTTGGGATCATGGGCCTCTTCGGGAACTCACTAGGGCCAGCACTCAGGCCCAGGTAGGCCCTGACTTGCTGGCAGTAATGTTTCGGTGAGGATGCCGCCTGCCTTCCTTCATTTTTATTATTTTATTTATTTGTTGTTTATTTAACGACGCTTTCAGTAACTCAGACTTATATATTATTATTTATAATATTGTCACGTGTTGGGTATGTCACGCGACAAACAACTTCACGTGGGTCTCGGATTTAGCGAATCTTTATTGGACACTCACACTTACACACCTTACAGTTTTTATTACTCGCAGTATCGCCTGACTTCTGTCTCTACTTCGCTGCTTACACTGTCCTTGGCCGTGGCTGGATCTCAACTGGCTTCGTCGACGGCTGTCCCAATACTGACTTCTTGCTGTCTTTCTTCTATATCGTATGGCGTCTAGGTTCCGACTGACTTGGCAAATGCCTTCAGCCCTTTTTGTAACCTCGGCCGCTGCTATGCAATGAACCCTCGTTATAACCGTGGAGACTCATCTCCGGGGAAATTCGGCGTTCTCTACGCAACGGCTCACTGTTGGGATTACAATACCGCTATTGTTACTTCCTATGCAACGGTCTGTTCTAGCGTTTCCATGGAAGTAACCTTTCTGGATTCCAAACATGTGACATTATTACTTAACTGCAAATGGGTTTTCACCCGGTGCCAGTGGTACTACAGTAAGACAACAGGCAAATATATATACGTATATGTATTATATATATACTCGTATATATATGGAGGGTGTCCCAGGAGGAAAGGACAGTATCCTGGGAGGTCACAGTATCAGTTATTGTGCATGTGTCCTATTCCGAACGGTTTCCGAGATCGAGCTCCTTCACTGTACAGACAAGCAACTGAGGATTGCATGACGTAGGCTGTGGACAGTCGGCTGGAAGACCGAGAGCAAGATAGGAGGGTAATACTGGAGGGAGTCTGTGAGGAAGTGAACACGATTGAACCGT